GTTATTGTTCTAACTTATACCGTTTATGAACTATTGTTGTGTGACCATCAAATTTGAGTATAAATGAGAAGTACCCAGGTACCAATTTTTTTTTCAGGTATTTCCCACCACCGTATGGCACAGAGAGGTCAGAAATAGGTGTAATATTTGAACAATACTAAGCGTATTGTAGCGGCCGCAAAACGATATCTGTATCAGCAGATTGTTTTGGCGGACACTGCATTTCGATGAAATAAAATTCAGATTCATCGTTTCGTTTCGCTTTATTAAAATTCACCGCAAATATCGCTGGTGAGGGGATGATAGGCCCGTAATATTACGAAACATTTATTCGGCGTTAGTGGGATAATAAATAAGGTAAACAAGAAGTGCGAGTTGTTTAAATTAAATAATAAAGTATGAAGTGTAAGTAAGTTTACTTACGCCTTTTAAGGAATTCTAATTCCATTTCTTCTTTTTTAATCTAATAAGAGCGGGATGCCAATTGCATCCAGGAAAAGATTTCATACAGTTTTATAAAAGGTAATTATTTTTTTAAATAGCATAAGATTGAGCTAATCTGGAAACATTAGCTTCTTTTAAACCTAAGGAAGCTTCTATTGTTAATATAAAAACAGAAGTACTTACATAATAATTATGTCTCCTACTTAAATAGCTTAATAAGAAAAAATAAAATAGTGTGAAAGATATTCGTAAATGTCTAATCCAAAAGTAAATGTTCAAATATACATCCAATAAAACAAGTAAAGATGTGTCTGGCTGGGCTAGGGAAAAGGAGGTTTGAATAAATATCAAAGATACGATTTCCTTTATACGGGTGATTTATGGGATCTGATTTGAAATACATAAGGAGACAGCGCGGCGCCTCGCGCGAACAGCGATATCGGGACCGCGTGAAAGCGACAGTTACAAATATAGCGGTTACAAGATTTGTGGTAAACTGAAGCGTCCTACAAAAAGTGGGTCGAGCCGAGGCGTTGATGCGATTCGTGTCTATTTAAATTCCAAATGCGGCGCGCAAGTGCAAGGTATGCGTTCGCAGTGCACCCTGCGCGATGTAGGTCAGCCCGGCACGCAGTGTTTACACGCGCGACACTTACGACATCGATGAGCTGGCTGAGCTTGAGCTTGATGCAGACGCGGAGCACGTCGGTGGTGTTGACGACGGGCCGCACCAGCTTGTTGTAGTTGGACAGCAGGTCGTCGTAGAGCCGCTTGGCGTCGGGGTTGCCGGCGGTGGCGGCGCGCAGCAGGCAGCAGGCCGCCAGCCACCAGACGATCGCGGCCATCAGCTCGCGGGCTCGGCCATGTTACGCAACGGAGCGGGGAGCTGGGCCGGGCGCGGCGCGGCGACTGCCGCCCTGCGCGCCGCCCCGCGCGCCCGAGCCGCCCTGCCAAAGAATCACGGCCCGACGCGACTCTCTTTTGTATTAGTTCGCGGCCGCTTTAATTAAACACGATGCATAGCTCCGCTCTGCCTGCACGATATGCATATTCATTCAATTACATAGGTATTTCGCTCCTGTCAAAAATTTTTTGTTTGAGTTATTTTTCAATAAACGTTATGACAAAGTTTTAAGTGATAGAGATTTTATTATGAAATTGTGAAGTCCTTTTCGGATCATAATCTAATCATTTTTTTATTTAAATAAAAATAATAACTAACGTTACAGCTACAACGGTTTTAAGTAAACTGAACTTTAACAACTCTATTAAGCGTACAGCGTTACTAGGAAACCCGTGAACTATGATAACGCAATCATCAGTTAACAGAATTGTGTAATTAGATTTTGGTTTTCGGCGAAGTATGTAAGCGTGGGGTGGGGTGGGTGGCGGCGCGCTTGGGGCGCATCGCTCTGCACACCCTCTATAAATATGCGAGTCGATAGCGAGCGCATCGCATTCCTTGACCGCTACTGTTGACGGTTACACTGGCGATCTACATTCAAAACAGTAGTAACAGTACTGAAAAGAATGGATTGCTGACTTAATTTTAATATTTCAAAACAGGGATTAACCCGTGCCAACTATGGGTTGACTTGTGATAAATAAGGAGTAAATACATTTGGTGTAAAGTAACGAAATTATTTGAAGTGAGTTTAAAACTAAACTTGTTTAATTAATCTCTGTTAACGATCTTGTTATGGGCTCGCAAGTCACCGTTTTGTGAAAACCCCAACTAAAAGTTGAGTTAATGGACACCAAACATTTTCCTCAGTTTATTACCTAAATGATAACTTTTTAGCAAATTAGGTAAAGTAAGCATAGTTAGTAAAACATGCTCAATTGATCACAGACGGTGTTCGCGCCGTCAAAGCCAGCCTTCTAATTAATATCGAATGCATGCTGCAGGGGAACTTTGAAGTCACAGTCGCAGCGTGGAAGATGTAGAGGTGACGTGCACTCCGCGCCTATTAAAAACTTTTTAATTATACTGCTTTTGGGAGCGGTACAAAACACAAACTTACTAACTTTGTATTTGAAACTATTTCACTCACTATTTGTAGTACCTACTTACTGGACTTATAGTATTAAATCCAAGTAACAAAATAATATACCAAAAACCTAAATCTATTTCTAAATTTAATAAAAAACCGAATAATGGCGATGATATTCCATTTATCGTGTGTTGAACAGGTTGAATGGCTGGAATCACGGCGTGGATAAAATTTAATTTCTTGTGACGGTGAAATTTTATCTCGAAAATATAATATTCACAGCGCGATAGCGAGGGCGATGGCAGATTACAACGCGTTATGATAAACGAGTAATTCCCGAGCATAAATGACAAGGTGTAAGAGCTTACCCGCGCCGCCGCGGCTATACCATCTACAGTACCCGGCTTTAGCACTACCTTCTAATCCATCGGTGTGTAAATAACTAGGTAATTTCTTTTTTCTGAAAGTAGAGGAAAAAGGTTCTCTTTTTTAAATAATTCATTCAGTGCCATTAATTCAACGCTATAAACACGTCTATGTTTAGTTTTATACTTTTTCTAAGTATACAGTATATTTAATACATAAACACAATATTTCAAAAGCACTAGGTATAATAAATATTTAATATCATAAAAAGATAATTTGTCCCAATACAATGTTAAACTGTTACGCTACTAGTAAATAAATTAAAATCGAATCAAAAACTGCCACGTGATTTATTTATCACACACATTAAAAGCATATCCATAAATATTATTTCATAAAATATCAATATTATACATTCATAAGCTTCTGTTTATTTAAGAGGTGTGTTTTCACGCTTTACGTAGGTGATAGGACAATATTTGTTTACAAGGCATGGCGCTAATAAGACCCGGGTGTATCCAAGGCTGGGCCGGCAGCAAAGATTATTTTCCAATTTCTCCCTGTCTGTCGCATTTGCTGAAATTAATCTTAGCAGGTGCTTTATCTCGGGGAATCTTTATGAAATAACAATGTACCTAACCCTAACTAGAATTCCATTACTTTAAAACAGCTCGCAACTATTATTTTTCGTTTGAGAAAATTATAATTTAATGACATATACTCCAATTCTCTCCTTTTATATTAACGCCCATATTCACAAACATTACTATGAGGTCTCACAGAGCGCATGGACGAACGAACCAATCACAGAGCTCTATTCAACGCTGTGCGTTCGATTTGCTACCTCACTTAAGCAAGAATCGTTTGTGAATATGGGCGTAAGATAAACGCTATGTTTAGTTTCTGAGAATTATCAGAAGTAGGTAGAAGGACTGTTTGCGAATATTTCCGGGATTCTTTCGTGTCGCCCCTTTTGTAATTACCCACTTGGGAAATGTCGAATGAAAATATAGGGAACATCTGCCTTAATATTATGCAAATAGAATCTAAATTTAAAAATATGTGTGAACTGTGTATGTGTTACTGTAAAAGCTCGAACTACGGTGAATTGACTCGTATGTAAAATATAATACCTGTTCAACCTGTCGTTTTTCCACTGCGTTAAAAATTCTCATCAAAACTGAACCAATATGTTTGCTATCACAAACTCAAAGAATATCACGAAGAAGACTAGAAGTTTTTCCTAATTCCAAGTGTCAATAACGTATTCCCCGTTAAAGTGAAAAGAAAGTGCTGTAAAATACCTATAAAAGTTTATAACGATAAGTCTTATAACTTTGGCGCGGCCGTCATAATCCAAGTTTCTGTGGGGAGTAAAAAGGGTCGTCAGTCTTCACAGACCCTTTCGATTTAGCGTCTCCCAGGCATAAATCAAAATTACACGATAAACAACTTAGACCATAGCTTTTTGGGATGTCTAAAAACATTTGCGTAGCATTATATCAAAATGTCAGCCAAAAAAAGATACGGCTAGTTTATTCAGCAATATAAACAACAAACTACCTATTCTATACAGGTATAAACTTAGGTATTTACACTCCGAAAAAGGGGTTAAAGCTACCGACAGTTATTGTCGCACGCCCATTGTATTTCACAATGCATCAAAATGGAAACTGACCGAGTTTGGAGGAGACATTCTGAGAGACTAGGAGTCTAGAACGCTCGTATATCATTCTTAAAAGTTTGCAGAACAGTTTTTATTATTTACTACTCGTAGTATCTTATCTAAAGAACGCATTTCATGAAAATAAAACTTGTATATGGACACAGTTTTAGCGCTTAATGCGATGAATTGAAGGGGATAAAAAGGCGAATTTAGTTTGAGAGACGTAAGCGTTTTATTCGAAGCCAAGTCAGGTTTCGTATCTGCGATATAACGTGAAACACTACGTGCCGGGCCCGGCCCGCTGCCAGGATTATTTTTATAGCCACAAGATGCCTTCGGGATCCAATATTGCAATTGGAATCATATCAACCCATATTTCTTCATAGACCGCAAAGGAAAGAATATCATTTGAAGTATTTATTGAAATTCTATACTTTAAAATTGAGCTACAATCATAATATGAGATCAAAAATGCAGCGAAGCATTTACCTATTTATAAAGAATTGAATGATCAAACGAACTTACCAAGTGAAGTTCGATCTAAATTATCCTGTTTTCGCCGAAGAGATTTATTTTACCATGTAGTACCCCTGTACGACAACCCAATCCGCACACAATATTCAGCGTAGTAGTATTAAAAAACAAAAGAGCGGGCTACCCCACCCCTACCACGCTGTGGGCTCAGTGTCCGAGCGGNGTTTTTTGTCGGTAAAAACGTCCTGGTGACGTCACTTAAGCATTTTTCTTATACTGCGTGCGGTCGTTGCGCGTGCGCACAAAGGAATGAGACCGCTCGGACACCGAGCCCACAGCGTGGTAGGGGTGGGGTTGCCCGCTCTTTTGTTTTTTAATACTACTACGCTGAATATTGTGTGCGGATTGGGTTGTCGTACAGGGGTACTACATGGTAAAATAAATCTCGGAGGCGAAAGCAGGATAATGTTAAAGTATTCTTGGACCTTCTCTCCAATCTGTGACTTATTATGAGGCTTAATAAATCCTTACAAAATACATTACTTAGGAGTAAATCACCTAATAATGTTTTGATATTTTAATTTTATGTGTCATTATTACTTACCTACTTATTAAGGTTTACTTACTTCCTTATAAAATCCAATAGGCACCTATGCTGTTATCGGCTTTGAATGTCGTTATTACCAAAATTTGTTTATTAAATTAAATAAAAAGAAAAACGTAACAAGTACTGATTAAAAAGGAGAAAACGAATTCATAACATGTAAATGTCCGTATCGAGCGAAGTCATCCGTATCCGCATTCACATCCGTTGTAGAATTCCCTAGTGCAATACAACTTGGCGTATATCATTACTACCCTTCCTTTAGGTCTCAAAGATCAGATGGCAACGAGCGAAACAGTAGAAACATCGCCGAGCTGTGATCCTTTTAAATTCTTTATTTCACAGTGCTTCGAGCTCGGGGCTCTTGAATTGTTTGTGGGAAACACCTCGTAAATACATTTTGTATCTCGCTTACAGAAACAATGCTCTTTACTTTCACTGAAAGTCCTTACTAGTCAAATAACAAATTGCTGCATTGTAGTTTGTACTAACAAACGTTTTCATTGTACAGCTCTTCACTTTGAACCCGCTGCATTAGATTAGGTACCTACTTCATATAGAGGACTCCTTGAACACCTCCTTATACGCCCTCTTGCTCTTATCTTCAAAGGTCGGTGAGATAGTCAATATTCAATCTTGCACATATTCAACCTCTGCATATTGAAGCAACTATTCGGTTACTTCAATATGCAACCTATCTATCCCTACCAGTATACATATAGACTCACGTGCAATTATGCACATGTCAGGTTACAGTCTGGTGTAATGTGTGCTTTTAGATAATATT